GACCTTCGGGAACACTAGCGCCTTCTTCTTTTAACATGAATAACTAAAAATCTATATTTCGGCTAATTACCGAGTTTATAAATATTTAATTAAAATTATCTGGGTGACTCACAAACCTTTTTAATCACACTTCATAACTCTTCATATGAAATACAAACGATTCCGTATAAAAACTTTTATTAATTTATCTATTTCGGCTAAATGCATGATGTAAAAATAATTAATTAATTACAATTAAACGAATGACTCACAAACCTTTTCAATTGCACTTCAAAAGTCTTCATACGAAATACAAACGATTTCATATGGTAGATTCTTTCCCGGGCATTCATTTCCGGTCAAATACATACGAATCTGCTGCTGCTGCATTTCACTGCTCATGAAAATCCACCTTAATCGCTTTGTGACCGAATAAAGGTGATGGGGGGTGGGGGATCAATCATCAACGTATTTCTAGTTTCTAGCGGAAGGCGGTGGGAGACGGTGGTCGTTGGTAGTCGTGTGGTCGTCGTGTGGAGTCACGATCTGTGAATCGAAGCAAAATGGCGACGTCCGACTCCAAGGCACCTCTGAGGACGGTGAAACGCGTCCAATTCGGCATCCTCTCGCCCGACGAGATAGTAAGTCAACTGTACGATAACTCGCGAAACAAAATTCTCGCGGAAAGCATTGTCCTGGAGCTTCATGGCGCAATGTCATGCAACCCGCGCGCCTAGCACGTTGGTCGCTTGCGAGAACTTCCCCGTCGAAACGCTTGTTGTAGATATCGTAGGCTGCATTCCAAAATTCACTTTAGTTAACTAAAATGCTATAGCGTACGTGACAAACTATAAATTTTAGTTACCTAGAGTGAATTTTGGAACGCAACCGTAGTATATGCGAATTTTGATTTCATTGCTGTTTGTGATGTCAGTTTAATGGAAACCAAGAATAAAATTGTGTGTAAAATATTGGTGTATTAGTGCCCATATATTAGCTATCATACTTTTGTCAAGTTGATTATTAAAAAGTATTATTGAGAATTATGAAGTTATAGGAATCATATCAGGAAAGGCAATGCGACTGTAAATAGTGAATATAACTTTATTTATATTTAAAATGTATATTTAACTACTACATATTTGGATTTAATTATGAGAAAGCTATATGATACCAATAAAGATTCTCAAATTAAATTTTTTATATGAGGACTTTAAAGTACTCATTGCTCTAATATTGCAATTTTTAACGTAAATATGTATGCAAAATGATTTATAAACAGAAAGTAATATACACGAAGAAGAATTAATCATATTTCTTGTGTATAAAATATATGATAATGAGCTTACGATTGAAAACATTACTTGGATGCATACTGCGTCGTTCTATCTTTGTTACTTACTAAAAATTGATCAAGGACAGAACACGCGTGCGACGCTAGTGTGGACCTGAGTGAAGTTTCTGAATTGAGCCAAGAATAGTCAAAGTGTGAATTTGTTTGATAAATTATTAAAAAATCATATATCTAGATTCACGTTTTTGTAAGATGTTCTATAAAATTTTAAAAATAAAATGTTCTATGTTAAATTTATATTTTTTATAAGATTTCTTACATGATGTTATGCTTTTGTGCAGCGTCGTATGTCAGTCACTGATGGCGGCATACGATTTCCGGAAACAATGGAAGGGGGCCGCCCTAAACTGGGTGGCCTCATGGACCCGAGGCAAGGTGTTATTGACAGGAATTCCAGGTGTCAAACTTGTGCTGGGAATATGACAGAATGTCCTGGCCATTTTGGTCATATAGACCTAGCAAAACCAGTATTCCATGTGGGATTCATTACAAAAACTATAAAGATATTGAGATGCGTGTGTTTTTACTGTTCCAAACTGCTTGTCAACCCTGTAAGTAGTTATTATTCAAGATATACTGAAGAAATATTATCTCTTTATTGAATCCAGAAATTTTTACATTTTAATTCCATTAAATTGATTTGTTCACATTCTACATTTTTTCAAAAATTTATAATTGATTATAGAGATTTAAAAGTAATTTAAAAAAGTAATTTTAAAATAGTGCATGAATTATAAATAAATAAATCACATAATTATATATAGATTATAAAAAAAATTATATAATTAAGTTTTTTAGAGTTCCCCAAAAAATTAATGACTGAATTATATTATCTTAACCCTTAAATGCCACACCTCTCAAGAATCTCGTAAGTTCACTGAGGGGTCTAAAAGACCCCAGCATGAAAAATGTCTCCTTACTCATTGATTTTTTTATCTTTAGTTTTATCATAATTTTTTTCAATGTTCACGGTCTAGAGAAGAGTATAAAATGCTAATATTGTTCAAATTTTAATTTCGACATAGTATAAAAAATTAAGTAAATTGAGTACTGCTAAGTGTATACACGGGTAGGTCAATCACTCAACTATCATCAATGGGAGCATGAGCTCCATTTTTGGTAAGAACATTTGAAAACATTTCATTCTAAAGGGTCTGGGGTCC